CAGTTATTAAATTTTTTAATAACATTTGCATACTGAAACTTTTTTAATCATTGAAATTATTATTCCGCATTAAAACTGCATGTTTTTAAGCTGCCCTTTCGCATTAATTCACGACTGTTGCACGTGTGAACGGGATGACTCATTCTAATCATCCAATCGTAATTGTATTTTTTTTCAGTACGGACAAGAACTCGAAGAAGTTGTCTTCTACATTCAGTGGGTTGATTTCCTAAAGTAACTAATTGATGTAGGTAATTAATCCCCATAACTAACTGAAATTTAGTAGAATATATATTAAATTGTGAATCTCCGAATTCGCATCAATCGGTTTCTTATTATTTCTTTATCTGAGACGACATCATCTTTAGAATAAAATTTCTATTTCTGAGGCGCACCGATTTATAATGGATGTAGGTAAAGTTGCCAATGCTAAGCCACTTCTTTTACTGTGCCTTATGACGATATAGCTAAGTTTCGAAATATGTAGATTGGAAGCTGTTAATTTTGACATTGACACACTAACAAGATAATGTATTATATGCTGTATAGCTATATTAAATACTTAGAATAAGAATCTTTACTTAAATTCGTTGTCAAATTAGGGAGACGCAGAAATAGGAATCGCAATGATTTTTGACTTATCACATCGATTGATTTAACGAATACTAACGTAATACCATTCTGTTCTGCTTTCTGTACCTATAATAAGAGATCGATAAAGAACTTGAGATTAAAAATAAACAATAACAAGTAACATATAAAAAACCATAGCAGATAAAGATATCACATTATTGACAAAAAAAAAAAAATTTGAATAGTTTTGTAATGTTACTTTTGACACCTGAAGCAGACTATAAACGAAGAAGTTGATACTCTACCCGAAAGAATTTCACTTCTATCGCGTTTTCGTATAATCGTTTTTATAACACCCGCTACTAACTGCTCTTTTTAGGTGTATAAATTTACTGCATGTTTCCGAGGTCATAAATCTTCCGATCTATGCTGGCAAAAGAATGATCCAGATTATTTTTGACGTCCTCATTTTATGTGAAAGGTTTTGTCGTCTAAAAAACTTTGTGATGACCTATAAACTGAACAATTGGTTACATTAAAATACTACATTCACATTATAAATGCTTTTGACAAGCTAACAAACTTATAGCAGGTCTCACAATATATGGTGCAACATCATTCAATACTGGGCGTTTTTTATTTAAAGTGGATCTTCATAAAACTATACTTGAAAATTGATCTATGATTCAGCTTTTTTTGACGAATAATGGCTATCGCAGTATATAGGGCAGGTAAATCTCCTTTGGACAATTAGAATCTGGTTGCGGTCACACGAGCTGTTACTCAAACGTTTGCGTCGCTAAATGCTGCTAAAACCAGCTTCAGCTGACTGTAGAGGAGGATGCACATCTTCAACAACAAAACTCCTGACCAAACTATTGTACAAATTCGTTTTGAAACTAACACTTTTACACTTTTGTATTGATAAAGATTTAAAATATATTGAAAATGTTGGTTCCGATTTTTCATATATGAAAAGGTAGCAATTAGAAAGCAATGCCGAAAATCAGACAATTTTTTTCATCACGAACTAACAAAATGTATACTGACAACGCAGTTCAAATCTGAAGTAGTACGCAAAAAAGTCCTGCCAGTTTTTTATTGCGAAAGAACAAAGTTATTGGAAATACTGGACTGGATATATACAGCGTACTAAAATTACGCAGTTGGGATTTGATTTACTATTTTTTGTACCCTTGAGTAAAAACAATATATATATTCCATAAAAATGATTGAAAAAAGTATTTGCGTTACTGTCTAATTATATCTTCACCAAACCCAAGCTTCTCTTGGACCCCCTAAAAGTAAGAGAATATGTTATTCATGCTAAAAGTCAGTTTACTGAGTTCTGGAATTACAAATTAAACTTAAGTGTCGGGAATGTAAACAAATATCAAATTTGAAAAGCATTGACGGTGTCGGTGTAGCCAATTTGCTGTTTTGAATAATTGTAAGAGCTTCCATTGAATCTTGCGGATGTTTTCAGTACTCGAGAGTGTTCAAGTAAAGTTTCGAAAACTTTTCGAAAACTGATTTTCTCTAAGTGTTGTGAAGTTTCTGTGTTTTTCATATATGTTAACATTTTAGCATTTGTGAGTATGCATTGCTGCCTATGTATGAATGCATATAGAATTGCAAGGATTGCCAGTGAAGCATTTTTTTATACAAATATAGTAAATATGTGAAAATATTTACAAATGTATATGGGTACACGCGTATCTGTGTGTTTATAAATAAATTTTTAAAATACATAGAAGGTGGAGTGCATAAAACCGAGTGAAAAATGTTATGCGCTGTCAACTAAAAAATAATGTCAGCAATGGCACCAGCGACGGCACCAGTAACGGCAGGCAGAACGAAAAACTTTGATATTTTAAATTTTGCTGTCATATTTATAGCCTTTTATTTACTCATATTGTGACAGTTTTGTGACTCTACGTGACGCAACATATAAAATTTGCATTAAAATTACTTTGATTACAAATTGGCAGCATAAAGCGTCAGCAACATACAAACAGCAGCAACGTTAATCTTAGTAGTATTACTGCTGTTGATAACAGCATGCACCAACAGCACTTAACAGGAGTAAGACCAACTTTATAGGTATTTTTGTGATTTTTTAATATAAAACAAAGTTGTGCAAAAAAAAAACATCCACTCTGATATCAAAGTTCTCGGTCTGCAAAAAATACTTTAGTATAACAATAAAAAGCTAAAGTTTAATCAATCCTGCGAGAATATATTTTACTCCAATTCTTTTAATCATAACACAAATTCACTTCGTTGTGAAAGAACCTAACCCAATCTAGGAAGTAAGTGTAGTAATAAGTATAGGCTGCTTGCAATAACAAGAGATATAGTCAAGCGAACGACATCCGAGAATCGAAGGTCGAAAAGGGACCCAAGTCTTTGTGTGGTCTACTTCGGCTAATCCTTCACTTTAGTGGGGTCACTTGTTGGATGGCGTGCTGTCTCAACGTTCCACAATGTATATCTAAGTATAGGGATAACCAAACTTATAGAAAACGATTAGAAAAGTGCACTCCTTCCTAATGCAACCTAACTCGACAAAGAAAAAACATTATCTTAATAAGAGGCATACAAAAATCAGTACGATGTAAATTGGTATGTGATTAGGCACACGAACAAATGATAAAGCTGTAGTTAGCGTATGCGTTGGATGTGACCATATGCGTTCGTAAAAAGTAAGTCTTTGGCATTGAAGCACAACTGATTGAAAAGTTCTTGAAAACGATTTTCTATTCTCAAAGTCTAACACTGTTGGGTTATAACATTGATCTCGAAGACGATATTGCCTTAGAGCAAGGCAACCTCACTGATATTATTTTCATTGCCGTACGTATTGTTGAATTTCCAAATTGGGAAAAGAAGAAGACCTCTATCTTCTTTTTGTTGTAGCATATATTATTCTATAATATTGTGGAACTGATATGAAAAAATATTCTTATTCCGAACTTAAACCACAGTTATGTTAAGTCATAAGTCCAGTGCTGAAAACAAAACTGGGTAAACAATTTTTAAAAAATTTGCTTTGAAGTCATTCTACAGTCACAAACGTTATACACACATAAAATCGCTAGAAATAATTGACTTCGTGGGCTTTGTTTTCTTCTTTTGTTATAAATTGTCTTTGCTTCAACTGTCCTCAACCTTATGGACTTATCTATATAGTTGTTTTCCGGAAAGTGATCAAAGTATCGCTCAACAGTACCTTTTTCAGGAAAAGGTCAAAAATGAAACTGTATGTTTTGATTTGTTTATTTGAGTTGACGTCCAGACTTCCAATCGCCCAATTGTCATTTTAAGTACAGGGGTAGGTATGCCATCCTTTATTTACCTGCTTGTTTTGTGTTGTTCAAAAATTTTTCTAGAGACTAATCATCACTGTTGTCCGGGCATTACTAGGGCATGCAACTAAGCCCTACCACTAAGGTAGATATGGTCACCCCATGAGGGTGACGGAACTCCAGTCTGACAACTAGGCGACTGGAGCTCTCGATGGCATCACAAATAAAAAAATCGATCGATGTTTTCCACATATTGTAATACTTATTTTAATAAAGAAGGACTAAATCGTATATGTCTGCTTTAAGTGTCAATAATGACACATTAAAATTAGTATATTTTTTTTGTTGTAGAATTGCAAAATGTTTTCAAGAATCTACAAAAAGATATATCGTGATTTTAATGTACAGGCACTCTTATTTTGTTAAGGATGGTACTATTCACATCAGAAAAAGTCGCATTAGTTGTGGGTCGTAGCCAAGTAAACGTCTGAGAATGTTAGTGAATATTTGCATACATTTCAGGCTTCTTTTAACAGAAGTCGATATTTTTAAAAACTGAAGGTAACAGCACTCCATTCGTGTCAATATTTTTAAAAACTGAAGGTAACAGCACTCCATTCGTGTACTTCAGTTGGAAAATAAAAGTCTGAACGAATTGCTATGCAGAGATAAACGAAATAGTCGTACGAGTAAAGGTATCTTATCGAAGATAATAGATCTTGTCCTGATAAGGTATCCATTTTAAGTATATTCAAAACGGTCGACGTTATCAGCAACTGATATTAAATTGTGTTAAGAGTTATTCTGATTTATGAGTACGAATAGTGCTTCAGTAAGTGGCTAAGATGTTCTGAATATAATGTGGCGACGCAAATAGCATAGGAACTTTGGCATATATTCATATTGATTCTTTATATACTCTCATCCTACTCCACAATGAATTAAATTCAAATGTTCAAATTTTGAAGTTTGTAAAATTTATAGTCTTGCACTGCATGTCCGACTTTTCAACGCACATTTCACTTGACTAATCCTTTTTTTCTTTAATTTTTCACTAAGTATGCTTTGATATTTAAAAATAAACAATATCTAAACTTAAAAATTATATAAAATTATTCTATTTGTGCAACACTTACAGTTCGTTTCGAAATTTATTGTTCATAAAAAAAAATTTAATAAGTTTTTATAACTATATCTTTTGATAATATTTTCATATTTTTAGAACGAAATTTCCTGCAGTTTTTTAAGATGAGCGGAGACGGTTACAAAACTAAGGCTGTAATTGATATCTCTGAAGAGGTGCTGCCAAAGCAATATTGTAAGGAACTATTTGGGTTTGTTACTGATGATATTAAAATGAATTAATTTTATTATCTTAATAGTCACTGAAACAATTGATAATACTCTTTTTATTGTCGAGCAAAGGGATATCCGAACTATCACAACAACGCGCCACGTACGTTACAAAATTGCCACGGATAACGGTAATGTAAAAAACCTTGCATTTTTTTTATTTACAATTATTGTATATTATCCTGAACCCAGAAGTTAGAATTTTCAGTGAGCTCCAAAGGAGTAGTGAACCGCGTTGCTCTCCTTGCTGATAGAGCGTCTTTTTAAAATTGCGTGTTAGAGAAAGTGAGCGCTTCGCGATGCTATGTGGAGAGCCTTTAAATCGATATTTTTAGTAGTTGGAATATCAAAGCGCTACAAGAGAGCAGATAAGTAATGTAAGACGTATCACGCATTATAACGATTATTGGCAAAATAATGTAAGAATCGTGATTGCAGAAAAAATTTAATGCTTTGGATTAGTATTACCATGAATGGTGAATTATATAGGAGGACTCATTGTCCCCCTTCAGAAGATTTAGTAACATGAATTCATTATACAATATAGTATATATAGTCCCAATATAAATTATAATCAAAAATATATGTTGTAAATATAAATGTTCAATATGTTCGCTATGTAGATGCATCTGTAATTTTATATGTAAGATTTGTATCAAAAATGACTAAAAATATTGTAATATTTTTAACAGTGTTGCATGGAAGAGAATATCCGCCTAGTAGTGGCATTGAGGAGTCTGTGCAAAAACATTTTAGTGTAACTGAAACATTAAGCATACCTGAAAATATTAAAACTAATAGCTTATTGGTGCCAAGGATCACATTTAATGTAGTAGATGATGGACCAAACTATGATGCAGCACTGCCTGATGATGTAGTGGATCATGTAAGCCTGCGACAGTTTGAAATCTCATTTTTCTTATATGAATTTTCTTTTAAGCAGAATTTAAAAACTAATTATAATAACTTTTTTTGTGACATTTTTAGCTCATTCCCTTCTTAAAAAAAAACAGCAATCGAGCAAAAAACAAGCACCGTGAAAAGGCAAAGTTGGATCAGGAAATAGCTACGGGGGAAATATATGAAGAGAACGACATTGAAGTTGAACAAAACCCGAAAGAACTTGATCGTCACACTCCAGAAAAATGCTTAAGCTTACCAAAAGTTAGTGCACAAGTAAACAACTTTAGTATAAATAATGTATTTAGCACAATTCATGAGGAAGATACAGAGCAGTTGGAATATCCCAACGAACCAGTAGTCCTTGCAACAAAAAGCATTCGTAAAAAATATTGCAAAAAGAAAGTACTAACAGCAGAAGACGTAAATGAGTGCATTTCACAATATGTAGACAGAACTCCTCAATCGAAAGTGGAAGTCATTAACGAGAAACCTCAAATTGCTAAAAAGAAATCAACCTTTTCCAAAGTAGGGGACTCACCAAACGAGGAGAGAGTAGAAAAGTATTCGCTTACCAAACATAAGCGCGGTATGACACACCATTGTGCAACACAAACAAATGCACAAGAAATGGACCAAGAAGAACTCGTAAGCTACCTTGCGAAGAAAAGTTTTCCAAACTTTAATATTGAAGATATTGATCATATCTGTGAATCGGTGCTCAAAACCGTTATCGCAGTTCACGAACAAATCAAAAAGCATAAATCGCACTAAATTTCCTTTTTCACGTCAAAACATTATAACAAACAATAATCCTCACATACACATCAAAATCGATTTTAATCACAATAACTTTCCAGTCGAAAAATTTGAATGTGATTTTATTTAAATTTGAAGAAACTACCTTGCATCTAAGTTTAAAGTGCAGCCCATCAGTTCGGCAGTTTTCCAGAAGTCACGAGATATAAATTTTGCAAGTACCATGGAACGTCTTCCAATATGTGAACTCCGTCAAAATTATTTAGAAATTAACAACCCTTACTAAACGCTGTCGGTTATCGACAACGTCTGTGGATTTATTTATCAATGATTCAGGAGTATAGATCAGATACAGATTACGACACCGCAACTTTTTGTAGAATTAAGTCATTGGATTCATATTCTACATATAGAACATTTTATATCCTCAGTCGGCGAATTACACAAACAATGTGGGGTCTAGTGGATTACAAAACCATCCGGTTTTTGTGATTCATATTATACTAATAGTTATTAGCTACTTAAGTTTTGAAAGTCGTCCAAAGTGATATAATCTATCGAAAGCGATACTTTGACTGCTGGTGTCTGGTAAAGGAAGATGTTATTTCGCAAATTAAATGTCTCATGTCAACTGCAGAGGCTTCAAAAAATATATATCTAGACATTTTTTGATTTGGGAAGTTAAAGATTTATGTTATACTTTGGACAGTTCAAACTCAGCCTGTTGTAATATATGTAACCTACAAGCAATAATACAAAATTAAAGCCATCTAAACTTTCGTTTTATTTTGCAATTCTTAATTACAAATTGTTTTCTACATTGGCAAGTATTCGAGTTGCTTTGTCTGGGTTAGTACCTTGAACGATAAGTAGTGATACAATTTGAATAGGAAATGCAATATATTGTTTTTGTAAATTCCTAGACAGAAAACCTGACTAAAATAGAGCAAAATTTTATTGAATAAAACTTCAGCTTTTAAAACAGAAAGTTACTTTATACGCAAGTAATTAGACCAGCACTACTGTACGGATGTGTTACATATAGCAAAGCCTCAAATACTACCTTAAAGCAATTACAGATAGCACAAAACCTGGCTTTAAGAAGACTGTTTAAGATTCCATGGTATATTAGATCAACAGACATACATAGAGATCTTAGGATTGACTCAGTGAAAAAATATATCAGAGACAGAGCTCTAAAATTATTCACTAAAGTTGATAAGCTACTTAACCCCACCCTAAAAATCCTCAAGTCCACTTCTGGACTCTCAGGAAGATATGCTGATTTAAGGTCCGTCATCAACTAAAAGACAAATAAATTATATGATATCTTAGCCTAGTTAAGGCCTAGTGTGGGGCAGAGATAAGCCCCCCAGCCATTATAAAGTAAAAGTGCATAATAGCACTAACTCAAGAAGAAGAATCAAGAAGAAGGTAGATTTTCTGTTCCATAAGTGGGATGAACTTGCATACAGATGACTGCGTATCCTAGGTTTAGATGTATAGGTGTCCCATTTTTTGGCAATTTGTATCTCTTATGTCATTATTAAGTGGACTTTTATTTCAATTTTATTGAAGGTTTCTTTAAAAAAGTTACTTCTCTCAATATTTCTCATGAAATTAAAATTGACATTTCTTCGGTTTCGTTGTAGTTAACAAAATTTTTCAACATATTTTAAAATTATATTTCTATTAAAATATACTGCGTTTTTGTATAAGAGAACTAGTTACACCAGTAGGAACAGTAAAATTTCCAACAGAAGTAGCAGTAGGGGAGTCAGCAGCAAGCGCCTTGCAACGTAGCATTTCATTGCCCATTTCGTTGTATTTTGGGAATGTTGAGTATATTACAAAATTCACGGCATTCCTTCCACAGTAGTTGGAATTTTTGCCAAACACATGCACTTACATTTGCGAACATAGAAATATACATACATAAACACAACTATTATACAATACAAGCAATTATTGAGTCCAAAAGCATGCTTACCTTCAACTATTCCCATCTTCACTAAAAGTGAGCGCAACAATAACAGCAGCCCCACAGTTCCGAAATTCAAACCAGAGCACACAATATATCTAGTGAAGCAATTCACTAATGCTCACATCAGACCCCACACAATATGTTTCGTGAAGCAATCCACTCGCACACTAAAGCTCACATCGACCCCCATACATATGGGCGGCCCCCAAAAATGTTAACGGCGTTCATAAGCATTTTGCATAGAAGTTGTGTATAAGTAAGCAATTTCAATTGAAACATTCCAAATGTGCGTTTCTCGTTTTGTAAAAAATTTGGAAAATCTCTTAACTTCAATTGTTTCATCTAAAATGCCAATTGCACAACTATGAAGACAGAGGTAGGAGGACAGCAGTAGTAATTTCGCCAGGACGGCATTATATGTGCTTCACCGTACGACACACACGTACTTTCAAGCCCGTGCTACGTACCGTTTACTTTTGCTGCGGAACCCAAGCCATATCTGCTGAGCCCAAGCCATATCTGTGGAGCCCAAGCCATATCTGCGGAGTGGCAAATGCCTTACGAGGTGTGTCGGTATGAGTTTCAATTGTAACGGACAAACGTTCAGATATGTGCGAAATATTCGCAAATGCTGATTTCCCTTTACGCTCCACTGCCAATGAAAAAAGGAAGGCAAATATAATGTTACATTTAATATGGATCAGAATTTGAGGAGTACATACCTACCTTCGTAAATATTGAATGGAAATTAAAAAGGAGAAAACTTTGTTCTAATGACTGCCAATACACATTTAAATAACATATAATACATTTTTAATAAAACACATCCCTACGCACACTCAGATGAGTGCTCCTACTGCGTATTAACATGTGTGCCGGAAGTTTCCTCGGATCCTTAGTGTGCTTTTATTGCGCTCATTACAATTTTATTTATTTGTGGCCATTGCACATTCTTCGCATTTTTAAATTTAATTTAAAAATTTTAACGGAGTTTTTAGGTTTCAATTAAACACTCTCTGCAATTAATTTGTGGAATAATGAAATGGATCTGAAAACCATTACATTCGTAACTACGGATACAGAATTTCGAACTTAACAAAAATCCGTTCACAATATTTTAATAATCCTCTGTTCAATAGCATGATGACACTGCCTGATTATTTTACAAAACATTTACATAGCCCCTCAGGTTTTTAACAGTAGCTGAGTAGCTGCTAAAACCAGATCATTTTAATAGTACAATATTACCTGTGCATTGGAAGTAATTATTCGGCGAAGAATTTAACTTGAATGGTGCGTTTAGAATAGAATTTCTCGCGATAAATTATAGCACTGTTAGAAGAAGATTATATACATTCCCTTCTATCAGAAGTCCACATCGGCTTGTAATATATCCAATATGATCAATCGTATGCTACTGAAATTTTTTCCGTTTAGGTTCTGAGTAACATCATAAAGGGCAGTTTTTAGAATATGTTACAAGTAGATGGGTCTTAAAGTGTGACGTTAGCATAAACACTTCTGAGACAGACCTGTTACATTTACCAACAAATGTCAAATTCAAAAGTTTCCATTGTCGATGCTAAACGGCCGAAGAATAACTCTTTTGCTCAAGGTTAAATATCTACGAATAATTTTTGACACAAAGCTTAACCGGAAGGTCAACATCGATGAAAGAATTCACAAAGATTGCGTGGCCTTCTATGCGTACAAATGGATGTATGATAAGAGCTGGGCACGCAACCTACGTGATTTTCTGGTTTTAAACAGATATTGTTCGGCCAATTTCAACATACAGATGCCTAGTGAGGTGGCCCTCGCAGAATAAACAATACATTGTTCAAAGGTTAAGTATAAAGATATGAATTGTTGGGGCTCGATTGCATTCGGCCATGGGAATATCCCTTGTCTTCACAACTTCTTGAAGACGGGACCGGGAGTCAGGGCTGCTTACAACGCTGGCAAAAATAGCGATCTACCTTATGATCAAAAAAGAACGAGAATTTAAAAACAAACGCAAAATTTTAGTTTTTAATAATTATCTTTATTATAGCCTTCAAAGTACTCTCCTCCAGCAGCAATACATGCATGCCAATGCTTGATCCAATTTTCCATACAAGTTTTATAGGCCGCCGAAGATACGGCCTTTAGTTCACGTAGCGAATTCTCTTTTATGGCCTCTATGATTTTAAAACGCGTTCCTCGCAATGGCAATTTGAATCGGAGGAAGAGGAAAAAGTCACACGGGGCCATATCTGGAGAGCAAGGTGCTCGGTGCTTGGTTGATGATATTGGTGAATTTTTGGTCAAAAACTGCGACACAACCAACGCTGTGTGAGCCGGTTTTCCTTCCATAAATCTGGCCTCTTTTTGCGAATGCTCTTACGCAAACGACGCATAACGGCCAAATAATACTCCTTATTGACCGTTTGAATGTTTGACCGTCCGGAAGGAATTCATAATGCATCACACCACGAATATCGAAGAAAACAGTCAGCATATCCTTGATTTTGGACCGACTTTGGCATTCTCTTTTCGGTTTCGGATCACCTTCGAAGCACCATTCAGTATTGGGTCGATTGTTGTTTGGTGGGCATGTCAAATTCATAGACCCATGTCTCATCACCAGTTATGATGCGTTCGATGAATGTGGGATATGGGGTCCCTATCTGCGTTGGAAATCATATCTTTGGCTACATCACAACGACGCTGAATGAAAGTCAGCTAAAAATCGCCACACGAAAATTTTTCGACTTCTTTGTATAGACGCGAAACCAAAACTAATCGTACGATATGCGTTAAACTTTGACAGAATGTGTATAGTAGTGTTGCCAGCTTGAAAATGAAAAAAATTTACCGATTGAATAAGCGTGGGAATTCAAAAAAAGAACGAATAAGTTCTTTTTTGATCAAAAGGTATACCGACGTATCTAAGCTGGATAAAGGCGTTGAAGCCAGAGTCTTTTTTACGGCCGTTGATAGCTGGAATAGCTCACGGTCCGTACGGTTTGTTGCAAGAATATCGCTTTGTAACCCTGCATCTCCTCGTCATATTATGATTTTAAACCATGGGTTAAATTTTAGTCTAATTTTTATTTAATATATATTTTTTTTGTAATAATGTATTTATTACCTATGGACTACCAAAATAATAATTATTCAAATAAAATAATTCCTGAAATAGGAAAACCCAATTAGTGTTAGGAAGAGTACCCAACGGTACCGACTGGGCTACGGTACTAGGAATCAGCGTTACCGACTGGGTTACGCTGGTGGGTTGGGGATCAACGTTACCGATTCGGCTACGTTACTAGGAATCAGCGTTACCGACTGGGTTACGCTGGTAGTTCTACAAATTTATTAATTACCTTGTTTGAATAAACTTGGTGAGTATTCCAAAGTGTCTCTGTTGCCAGTGCTGCCACGCACTATTCTGTTGAAGCGCCGTGCTGCGACGTGCACTATTCTAAGTGCTGCGATCAAGTCCCCTTTGTTTGATTTTTCATCTCATTTTATAGAAATTTCGCCAAACGGAGCATCTATATTGTGTGTAGATTTCTTCTGATTTATTATTGCGTACCCTAAATGCTTGCGACTGGTTTTGCTATGAATGTTGTTGTCGTCGATTCTGCTATACCCATTTTATTATTAGCAAAACAAGTAACAAACCCAAAAAAATGGGAAACGTTATGATTTAATTTATTTTTAAAGGAAAATTTTTATTACTATTAAACCTCCTATTATAATTTAATTTTATTAGTAGCTTACAGTAACTTAACAAAATAACTTGA